AGGGGAGGTTCAGGTTGGATATTAGGAAGAATTTCTCAGGAAGAGTGGTGTGGCATTTGAACAGGCTGCCCAGGGAGGTGGTGGAGTCTCCATCCCTGCATGTGTTCCAGGAAAGGGTAGATGTAGCACTGAGGGACGTGGTTTAGTGGGCAATGTTGGCAGTAGGTGAATGGTTGGACTAGGTGATCATAGAAGTCTTTTCCAACCTTAATGATTCTATTATTCAAGCTGCAACAGTGAAATGTCAAAATTTGCGTATGAGAATGAGAAAAATGTCTCCAAAGATCACGCTGATGAAAAGTCAGAGGACAGGTACGTTTGTGTGTGCAGGTCTAGCCTCAGTTGCTTCTTGCTGAGGTATACTTTGTGAAGGATGCTTGCTATTAAATCTGAAATCATAAAGAAAAGAAAAAAAAAAGTACCAAATCTTACTTCTCATTTGAGTAACATACAGCATGTTTTGACAGGATCCACATATGGCATCTTATCTTCAGCTTAACCGACTGTGTTTCTCACCGGTCTGAAAGTAAAATAAACATCTCCGTACCTTTTTGAGGAGGCAAGGTGGGCTTTGCTTTCAGCCATCATTTGGTTGTAATGAATGTTCTCATTTTCTTTTCTCAGCAGGTATCCCCCAGGTGTTGTAAGTGTGGCTCCGACTGGCATACCTACAGCAGTAGAAGGAATTGTCCCCAACCCTATGTCTTTATCACACGGCCTCCCTGCTGTAGCCCACCCGCCCCATGCTCCTTCTCCCGGCCAAACTGTCAAACCAGAAGCTGATAGAGACCACCCAAGCGACCAATTGTAGCCTACGAAAACAGCATTCCCAGCATCGGAGATTTCAACTTCAGCGTGTGGAAAAGAAAACAACAAAACAAACACAAAACCCTGGATTTTGATCAAGGCAAAACCATGAACTTAAAGGAGGAGACGATTATTGGTTTAGAAACTGGTCCAATATACAGTATAAAAGGAAAAGGTGGGAGACAAAAAGAAGATTTGGAAACATTTTTTCCTCCGTATAAATTGTAGTTTGTCCCTGTCCAGTGAACTGATTCACTGTTTCTGTGTCCTATGGGTTCTTTGTTAAGCAAGAGAAGTTAGTAGTTAATTATATCATGAATGTACTTGTCTGTGTACAGTTTTTAGAACATTAAAAAGGGTTTGTTTGCTTAGCTGTCAACAAGGAAAAACGTAAGGGAGGCATTCAGCAAACCAATTTTGAGATTAAAAATCCTTTCTTTTATATTTTAAAACATGCCCCAAAATGAGGCAGTTGGCAAACTTCTCAGGACAATGAATTTTTCCCATTTTTCTTTCTACGCCACACAGTGCATTGTTTTTTCTACCTGCTTGTCTTATTTTTTAGAATAATTAAGTAAACAACAGAAAAACCATTTCTCCTAATTTTGGCATGAATTCCCTTGTTTCAAAATGAAGACAACCTTGCAAAGAGATTTTGAGGAAAAAAAAAAAAAAGGTTTTGTATAAACGAGCATTGTGCTTTTTGTCACCAGTTAAAGTATATATTATTGGTGGTATGAGAAAAAGGCACTAGACTACTGAAAAGTAGCAGCATTTCATTGCCTACATTGATTCCTTCCTGGTAATGTGGTAGGCTAGCAATATTTTGGTTAAAATCATGTTTGTGACTGTAACCATTTGTATGAATTATTTTAAAGAAATAAAAATCCCAGACAAATACCATATGTGTAAAAATTTTTATTTCTAGTAACTGTTTATTCAACTTTTATTAGGTTTCTTAGCTGTAATTTTTAAACAGATGCTGTCAAGTATTTCATTTCTAGCTTTACTTTGCTCTCTGTTGTTTGTAATACCGTCTTGGAAGCTTGAAAAATAAAAGAAAAAAAATTTCTTTCCATGCCATTTTTTCCCTTTACGTTTCGTAAATGTCGATCTTCTTTCCTGTGTTTCTAATGGAGTTTGAAATTAAGATGGATTTTGATTTGTGCGTCGGCATCATCAGCTACAATATGGTAACAGCGTTTGTGCCACCACTGTGGGCAGAGCAGAGCAGGTACAACAGCACCACGACAATAATAATAATAAACGTCTTTTGCCGAAGTCCAACATGAGAAGTGTGCATTGTTTTATTTATGTTGGGATGATGGAGGCGTGCGGCAGAACGGGATTGCGTTTGTCGTGCGGAAGGAGTCTGTTTCACAGGCGGTGTTTTTCAGGCAGGTTTTCAGCTGGAAGCCTTCACCTCCTTGAGATGGCCTTCATCCCTGTGTGGTGTAAAGAGCAAATTGAGCTGCTGCGAGAGAAGTACTGACTGGAGAGACGTGAATCTGGAGACAAGCCTCCTAGGTTGTCTCTTGTTAGTTCATTAATCTGAGCATAGCTGCCCACTTACGGTTGCTGAGCTGTTCTGAAGACAGTTCCTGTCCAAAACGGCCTCCAGTTCTGTTAGGAAGATGTCAGCAGATTGCAAATCAAGAAAGGTGGATAATTAATTGTGGGTCTGTTTTCAAGGAACAGGTAAGTGAAATTTTGTCTCCATGATGAGTGGAAGGAGGCTGCTAGTCAGCTGTGTGGCAAAAAAACAAACAAACAAAAAAATCAAATGCAGTCTCCTGCAGTTGAAGTGTATTGTTGTATTTCATTGGTAATTCACGTCTTAAGATGACTCTTTGCAGGACTGAAGAACCTTCTTGAACGAACGTAAACAAACATTTAACATCTGGTTGCCATGGATTGCTGACTGTTTAATTTGTTAGCAAAGGAACCAGATTTCTGGAGGAAAACCAAGGCAGTTGTTTTCTTCCTCCAGCATCAGTTTTGACAGAGCTTATATAAGTAAGCTTTGTTTCCAGTGAATCAATAAATGAAAAAAAGAACGGAAGCCATCACTATTTACAGCGTGTAGCTCTGAAGTGTTCTGCACAGTGTTGGGGTCATCATCCATGCTTGCTCAGGCAGAGCTTTTTTCAGGATTTGAGCCTGAAATACTGCAGTGTTGGGTGTAATAGGGCTTTGCTGCTGTGGTGATGCATGTTCAATAGTTCTGTGCTAGTACTTGAGATATATTTGTCAGTCTTACTGCCGAAGGGTAATCCAGTTTCCTGCTTTTATTGGAGCAGAAGGGAAAAGTCATCCAGGCAGTACAAAAGACCAATGTGTACTGACTTCTGGGTTATCATCTGAGAAGCTTTAGAGCAAATTTGAAAGTAAAAAATAAAAATAACCGAGTAAATGACTAATTGGAAAAGTGTGCCACAATAAACAAAGAAACCTCGTTCTCTCATACTAACATATCTTTTACAGCTGATTTTGCTAGGTTGTAGAAACATGATTTCCTCCATCTGGTAATGTATGTGCTGGAAAGAATTTGTGCACAAGTCAGTGGGAAAATAGCAACTGAATAGGCAATGGCAGAGGAGGGCAAGGGGAGATGGCCTGAGGTGGTACTGGAAGATAAAATGAAGGGTGACAGGGGAGGTGATTGAAGGCACTCTGATTTTTTGTGTTGCCTAAATTAAGGATTGTGGCCAAGAGATGAGCTTGGTGCTGCCAGTAGTGGGAAGATGCCAGCTGTACACATGCAGTCAGAACAAAGACTTGTCAGGAGTTATAAGCATTTCCCATGCTGGGGCTGATTCATTGCTGCTGTGGGGAAAAAAAAAAAAAAAAAAAAAAAAAAAAAAAAAAGTGATTGCAAATACAACAGGTGAATTATTTTTTTGTAGTGATTGAGCAAATCAGTGATGCTACACAGGACATAGAGCATTTGGTAGGCAGTTTTGCCCAAGCACCTTCAAAGGGAGGAACTCTGGCTGAAGTTGTAGCAGATTCCAAATGGCTGAAGAGGTGGGGGCTTATCAGGTGAGAAGAACTTGGAGTAACTTGGCTTTTTGAAGATTAAGGCAGAGGCTCAGTGCGGAAAATGACTTGTATAAATAATGAGATGCTGAGGAGGAAGAAGAAATGCAAAAGAAACACTGATGTGGACAAGCATAAATGGAGATTGGGAAAAGACGTCTTATCAGCAGAGAGACTGGAAAAGATTTCTAATAGTATATCAGATGTAATCCTGAAATTCCATCCACTTGTTTTTGTTAGATTTCGTAACTTTTTTCCTAATCCATAATGTAAGAACACTGTTCAAGGGTCATAACAGGTCTGCTACCATACTACGAGATAAGGAGAAAGTGCTCTGTTTTCTTATGCAGCTCTCCACCTCAAGCCAGTTAAGGCTGGCTCTCCAAATGAGTGAGATTGCTGTTACCCACTCACTTCTTGCCTCAGACCAAAGAATTTTCTTCCCCTGTTAATCTCAGTGGACTCTTGGATAAGGTCCTTTGTTCTCATTGAAGGAGAGGGCAGCACTGCCGGTGTTTCCTTTATTCACTCCCACTTTTCTACCTTTTGTGAGTTGGAGAAGAAAAAGCCAAAAATCAAACATACAGGCAAAAAGCAGGGAAGAAGCAGTCATTGGACTTAAGGGCGGAGAATACTGGCAGAGAATACTGGATCATTTGTCTGTCTACTCTGTTAAGCCATTGAATGTCTTGTGATTCTTTGTTAAACCTGGTATCTTGTTTTGAATTAAGTAAACCTTTCAGAAAGATTTCTTGTCCCTTTAATTAAAATGTCAAGTGACTTTGTTATTTTTTTGCTGTTTCCTTTGATAGTTTGCTGAAAGGCAAAATAACCCTGGCTGCAATTTTTAAGCCACTTTATTTAATTTGGCTTTCCCTGGCTCTGAATTCCAGTTATTGTTTCATGTTGAACATGAGGTCATGTGGGCTGACCTGTGTTGGTGAGCATGTTATATTTTAGCCAATCCTCCTTTATACTGAGGTCAGTGACACATCTTCCAGGAAGACCAAGCTGTATTATTCATCTGCTTACTTTTCCAGTTTCTGTTATTACCAGATACACAATATTGTACATCATTTCCTTTGTGGCCCTCTATTTTTGTCATTTAGAATGGCATAGTTCTTAGTTTTCTTCTGCAGATGGAATGGCAGGATTTTTCATCTCTGAGGCTGCTAGCTCTTCTTGCCTCTGTTAGCTTTCCAGTTTCCTTGGAAAATTTATTCCTGTGAAGTCATAAAGTGCTTGAAGAACTTGATTCATTGTCCTCTCACTCTGCAAATTGTATTGGCTGCAGTAGAACTGAGCAGTGGTGGAAGCTCTAAGTTGTGCACGTCCCAAGTGTTTGAAGCAGTCCTGCTCTCGCAGATAAGTCTTTCTTTTCTTATCATCTCACAGATCTGCTCTGTTTGTGTATCTGCCTCTTACAGAACACGGCCTGTTTGTGTTCTGGGAACAGAAAATGTATTTGTGAAATTCTTTCCTGTTTTAGAAAAAGATGGCCTTTGGTCAATTGTACTTTTTCTCTTCTGCAAGTTCCAGCTCAAATCAGACCAGTCATTTTTTAGCTCTCTTGTGCACTGACTGCCATGCACAGTATTTTCCCAAACTCAATATTCTCTCCTTTCTATCTGCTTTTGAGCTTGAGATCTCTCAATTGGTATTTCTGTATGCGTTTCCTCATCTGGAGTTTCCATTTGCTGTTAATTTATGTCTATTCAGATCCACTGTCAGCAGTTTGGGTTTTTTTTGCCTTCACATTTCTGCTTAGAATTTTAATGGAGTGTTTTCTCAAAGTATTGTTTGTTTTTGCAGAGGGAGTTGTGTTGTTTTATGCCAAGGCCTCCTTAAACAGGCTGAAATGTGTCCTTGGGGTGACGAGAGGCGTTTGAGACGTTTCTAAGATGATGTACATGACTCTCTCAGCACGACAATCCATTGAAGACATTTGTTATTTGCAGTCTTTGACTACCTCTTTCATGTGCTGCCTGAATCTGATAAGCTCCACCAGTTGGGAGTAGTGACTCAGCTCAAGAAATAAAGTAAGAAAGTGTTTTTAAAAATGTATTTAAATGAATACATATATTTAACTGCAAAGGTTTAAAGTAATCTAAAGGAACAAGGTTGTTAAATTGTCCCCAGAGCCCTTTTAATGTGTTAAATATGATGTATTGGAAGTAGACAATGGCGATAATAAGATTACTTCTTTGTATGTTCAGTGACACCTTACATTGTTTGGGAAAATGGGATGGAGCTGTTCCTCCCTGGACAAACCCTGTGAGTTAGGGCAGCAAATCAATATCCCAAAATAGATCTACAGAGGATGGACATCTGAGCTGTATGGTTGCAAATTCCTCCACCTCTTTTCAGGAAGTCCCACCAGGTGCCATTGGTTGAGTTGAGCACAGGTGCCTCCCACACAGCTGCCAGCTTTGCAGCGTTTTCCCTTCTCCAGAAGGAAACAAGGAGCAGGGTTGGCTCTTTAGCACCCTTAAAAGCATCGCAGGAAATCCTTGTTGCTATTGAGTAGAATTTTGGTTGAGCCCTGATTTAAAGGCCAGACCTTGCTATATTTCATTGCTCTTAAAACACAAGAGGAAAAAAAAAATCTACTTTTAGTATTTTCTGGTATTTTGCTATTATCAGTAGTTTTTGTATTAAAATCTTGATTTGTGTGGACTTCAAGGGATCTCCAAGTTCTTTTAAGAATGGGATTCAGTCAACTTGGTGTTTGATTTGTCATGTTTTATAGCTCTACTACACGTGAAATGAGTTCCTCGTATTCTGAAGTTACAATGATGCATTTATCTTTAAATGACAGCAAAACGCAATTAACTGCAAGGCCACGACTTTCCATTCCAAGCACGAAGTTGAAAGGCCTATCCTTCGAAATGGCTTGTTGAAATTGCAGATTTCCAAGAATTCATGTTCTGAACAACTTTATTTTTTTCTCTTCCTCTCACAGACCAGCTATTGCAATCACAGGATACAGCCTTTGTGTTGTGAGAAGTGCAGGTAAGAGACGAAAAAAATCTCCACTATGACTCAAAGCTTGTTTTCAGCCTTTGCAAATTCTAAGTATGAAGGCACTGTTCTGCATCATGTAACTAGTAGCTAGATCCGGTCCCATTTTCCAGAGGAAATAAAATCCTATGCCTGTTGAAAGACCAATATTCAATAGGGACCTCTTTCATTGCTTCAGACACCCTACTTGAATTTTCATGCACATCTGGGATCATAGAACCATAGAATGGCTTAGGTTGGAAAGGATCTTAAACCCCCTCCGTTTCAACCCTGCCTGTGGTTTCCCCCCCCTCAGGCTCCATCCAACCCGGCCTTGAGCATCCCCAGGGATGGGGCACCCACAGATGGCTGGGCAGCAGTGCCAGGGCCTCATCACTCATGCTTTGTTTAAAGGTGTTTTGGTTTCTCATTACAATTTCAGGTTGGATACTAGGTAGAATTTCTTCTCAGAAAGAGTGATGAGACATTGGAACAGGTGCCCAGAAAGTCCGCCATCCATAGAGATGTTTAAGGAAAGGGTAGAAGCAGTACTCAGGGGCATGGTTCAGTGGGCAGTATTGGTGGTAGGTGGCTGCTGGACTAGATATCTTAGAGGTCTTTTCCAACTCTAATGATTCTATGATCCAGGTTGTGAAAGTAACCATGAGCCACTCTGCTCTTGCACAACCCTGCTGTTTCTATTAGGACACCTTTAAGTGACAGATTTATTTTCAAAATTCATTTTTAATAATGTTCATTCCAGAAGTCTGGACCTGCAGACATGCAGTGTCTGCTCAGTCTGGCGAGGAACAGCATGCCTGCTGCTGGCTGAATGCATCAGAGGACACAAACTGTGGTCTGACCCTTGCTTATATATATTGTTAAATATATTGGAATGTGTGAGAAGAATGCAGTGTAACACTGAGTGTGAGCTGCTGGAGGTGGGGGATGGCACCTGGGTTGGATTAACCTTTGGTTTAGGTGACACAAGTGGCCTAAGCTTCCACCTCACCAACCACTAACAGGAGCAAAACCAGAGTGCTACTCCAATTTGCTCTAATTCCTGTCTCAGAAACCTTTTGCTGTTCTTTGTTTCATGCAGGACTACATCCTGGCTCTGTAGAACCAGGGCGATGTTCTACATGGACTTTTCTACTGAATTTTCTGCAAATTCAGCACCTGCATGTTCTGTGTTCGTCTGTTCTGTACACTGCATTTTTACTGCCTTTCTTCCTCTCCCTCACAGCCCATAAAGCTGCTGGACATGCTGAGGGCATGGCCACAGGCCACGGGGGCACGCTGCTGGGTAGCTAAGTATCTGTCGTGTCTGCCTTGGCCTTTCCTAGCCTTCCTTCCTTGGCCTGTCCTGGCCTTCTCCAGCCATTGCTGGCTTTCCTACTCTGACTTCTCTGACTTTGCTTCCCCAGCCAGCTCCAAGTAAGCATGCCTCCTCTGCCCGTAGTACATGAGGACTACCAGCTCCAAGGCTGGCCAGTGATCATATTCCTCATTATGACCTTACAATATTTAAAGGGAGATTATAAACAGGAGTGAAACCAACTTTTTACATGGGTTGTTAGTGATAGGACAAGGGGAAATCGTTTTAAACTAAAGGAGGGGAGATTTAGATTAGGTATCAGGGGGAAGTTTATTACTCGGATGGTTGCAAGGCTGTGGCACTGCTGCCCAGAGAGCTGTGGATGCCCCATCCCTGGAGGTGCTCAAGGCTGGGTTGGAGGGGCCCTGGGCAGCCTGGGCTGGTGGGGGGGCACCCAGCCCACAGCAGGGGATTGGGGCTGGGTGGGCCTTAAGTTCCCATCAAACCCAAACCATTCTGTGATTCTATGACCCTCGCTATACATATTGTGTGGGGTCAAACCCTGCTGGCAGCCCTTCAACAGCAGAATTTGCCATTGTATCTCAGAGCTGGAAGAGGATGTGAATTAGGCAGCCCAGTGAGGCAGGGTATAAAGGGGTGTCAACTCCTCTGGTAATTGCAGCCCAGAATGCAGTTAATCTTTCTGAATTAGAGGGCTTAAAGACCTTGCACCTGTTCAGTAAAGAGGCTCTATAAATGCATTTTTGCCTTTATGAATATGTAAATAGATATTTGGAAGTAGTTCCTGCTCCAAATGTTTTCCAACGGAGGCAAGTTAGAAAGCAGCAGGGCAGCAGTGGCACACTCGGTACATTTCAAAGCCAATGCATGGGTTATGCTGTTTGTTTCTCCGACAGTCTGATTTTTGTGGGATAGGCCGTGGTGCTTTTGCCTACTGGAGATGTCTCAAATTACAGTTTTCCTTCCTGAGCTGTTTTCCCCTTTTTTTTTTTTTTTTTCCTTTTTTTTTTTTTAATTTATTTTATTTTATTTCTCAGTAGCTTTGAGGGGCCCTCAGAGGGAAGTTTCCAGTTCCCTCTCTTCCTCTCTATGGTGACAGCAGTGCTCTTGGCTGGCTCTGCTCTGATACTCTCATGCATGTCCTGCCCTCCTTGCCCTATTTCAGAGGGCTGCAGCACCTCTCCTATGAGGAAAGGTTGAGGGAACTGGGATTGTTTAGCTTGGAAAAGAGAAGGCTCCAGGGAGACTTCACTGTGGCCTTCCAGTACTTGAAGGGAGCGTATAAACAGGAGGGGGAACGGCTGTTTACGAGGGTGAATAGTGATAGGACAAGGGGGAATGGTCTTAAACTGAGACAGGAGAGGTTTAGGTCAGATATTAGGAGGAAGTTTTTCACACAGAGGGTGGTGATGCAGTGGAACAGGTTGCCCAAGGAGACTGTGGATGCCCCATCCCTGGAGGCATTCAAGGCCAGGCTGGATGTGGCTCTGGGCAGCCTGGTCTGCTGGTTGGTGACCCTGCACATAGCAGGGGGTTGGAACTGGATGAGCATTGTGGTCCTTTTCAACCCAGGCCATTCTATGATTCCCTACCAACACTACTTGTGGCCATGCAGCTCACTGCTTTGCTTATTGTGCCTATTTGGGTGGGTGTTGTACCTCTTTCTTAGAGCTGCTGGGACATGGAGCTTCTGTGGTGCCCATCAGTGTTGTTTCCCTCCCTCTCCATTGGCTTTCACCTGAAAGAGCAGAGAATTCGTTTTGCCATGTTTTAGAATGTGGTGGAGATTTCCCCGTTTAGAACAGTGAGAAACATAGGCAGAAGTGGAATGACTCTTCTTCTCCCTGTCTTTGGCAAAGCAATCATTACAATGTGTCTGCAGGCTAAAATTAGGTGTGTTTGCAATGGTTATTTGCCACACAGTAATACCAGCTATAGGCAAAAGTGGTGAACACAGTGCAGATTTTTGATCAGCCTCTCATGAGTGGAGCACTGGTCTCCTGGAGGAAAGGCAGTGCATGATGCTGTGCCCAATGCTTGTTGTTTCAGGGTCACACCATTCATGCTCATACTGCCCTGAGGTTTCACAAAATACCTGAAGTCTGGATTTTAATAGCTTTTGATTACGTGACTTCTTAATCTTGATGCTGATGTTCTAATATCTGTGTTGATCGTTCTGTTTTTAGTTCTTGTGGCCTAGAGGAATTCTGGCCGTCTCAGCTGTGCGATGGATCTGGAAAAGGTGAGTTGTGAGTCTCCCATTGTCACAGTCAGGAAGCAAGAGACTTCATGGTAGGTAGGAGGCCAGCTGGAGGTCTGAAAAGTGCTGCTGGTCCCTACCCTGACAATAGGTAACTGTAGTATAACTCAGAGCATGATAAGATAAAGTAGATATCCCCAGGCCTTCCTTGTGCCATGACAGTTTTCAGCTGTAAAGCTGACTTCCTAGGATGTCCTTCAGTTTGCAGTACCTTGCTATGAGGCAAAAGCAGAAACAGAACCTACCCAGGAAGTAACAACATACTGTATAAAAAAGTTAAATATATAAAAATGGTACCAAAATCACAATAAATTGACAACAAATATTCTTCTTGGATAGGCATGGGAAGCATGTATAGCAATGCAATATAGCCTGGTGGTCCCATTTCACAGCAAGGGGAATGTATTTGTTATTTGTAACAGGTTGATCAATGATTAACAGACATTACAAGTAATGGTTAATTGATTGTTTTAGACTTGGTTCACACATGGCTGGCAGCAATCAGTAACACTGCATTCACACTGTAGTGTATTTATGGCAGTTATTAATCACACAGTAGTGTTTAAATGTTCCCATTTTATTAGGTGTAACTGAATTTTCAATAGCACGTCAGCAAATGTGAGCTCTGCCTTCACATTAGCAAAAGGAAAGAAATAACAAACCAGGGAATTTGGCCTTGCTTTCTTCAATGTCAGAAAACCATAAGCTGCATAAATTGGAGGCACTGCCAGATTATGAGAGCAATTTTAAGAAAAATGTGCCATTTATGGATGAAGCACACTTAAGGATTTTTATAATTACAAATATTTGTACTGTTAAGTGAATTGCATTAAATTATTTGTTGTTGTTGCTTTATTTCCCTGGAGGACTCTCATGTAGTGCAAGCTTTGTTATACTGATAAATGTGCCTGAAAGCTTTATAATGTAGTGATGCATTGTAATGATAAATAGATCTGGTTAAGTAGTAAAGATCAAATACACAATTAAGCATCTTGCTGAGCAAGGGAAAACAATAGTGAAATCAGTAAAGATGAATACAAACGGTTGTATTGAACCAAGCAAAAAATATTTTCTTGTGTCTACAAAATGAGGAAATCCGGCCGGACCCTTGCATAAACAGATTTATAAAGTGCTGAAATGTATAAATTATCTTTAAATGTTCAGCATCTATAGCCAAGGACAGGGCTTTCTCTGACCACACAGAGTGATAGAGATGTGCAGAAACACAGGCAAAGCAGACCGGCGCAGCTCAGAGGAGGGCGCCATGGGCAGAGCTCGCAGGTCTCACGCAGTGGTGAGGCAAACAAAAACCCATTGCACTTGACAGAAATATTAGAGCTGAATATTGGCAGCACCTGCTTCCATTGTCCTGAATTTCCTTCCCTAGAACCTTTCCCAGCAGGGAGGCTGGTTCACAGTTGGCAAGGTCACAGAGGCTTCACGCGTCTCATTGCCATTTGCTTTTCCAAACATCAGGAGAAATTGTGACTCAAAAGGAGAATGCTGGAAGGGGGAAATATAGCATGAGGCACTGATAAGGACTTTCATTTAGAACTCAGCACAGAGTCAGTGTGATCTGCTTGCAGGTTATCCATGTCCTTTCCAACTCTGAAGGGTGTTTAAGTGGATTTCTTTTGCAAGGGTACCCATGGCCAAGTCAGCACAGGAGGAATTTCATAGCTCATTGTACAGATGCTATGGTGAAATAACTCCTGGAGGATTTGGAATTAGGCAGGACAGAGCAGCCAGAAGAAACAGCTAATTCTCCTGGATTGACAATGTGAGCTCTTTCCCTACACAGTGCTTTGCCCACCTGGAATAGAGTAAGTAGTTTACTTTCCTTTGCAGTATTTGGGTATTAGCAAGGCTCAGGGGAAAGATCAAATCCTGCTTCGTGGATGCCAACAGCCAAACCCCTAAGTTGTGTGCACACTGGCCAACTGTTGTGTAAGCCCCACCGGTGCTCACCGAGCCCTGCTATCCCACCAGCACCATCCTAGGAGACAAAACCTATCCACTCATGGCAGGCACTGCTGAAAACATGTTTGCCAAGGATGTACAATGCTATATGTCCCAGACAGCAAACCTGTTATTTCTCATTACCATGCATTGCTAACTATCCAAAGTTTTGCACAGCCTCCAAGTTGTTATTTAATGAGAAGCATTATTTAATGAGGAGCAGGGGAGTAGTAAATACACCCAGCTTCTGGAGTTTAAGGGGAAAAGGAATGGCCAGAGCAGGCGGTGTGCTCCCTGCATCTGGCTTCTCGCACCTTCAGCTGCAGGTGTTGTTCATCACAAAGAGCCCTGCAAGAGTTTGCAGGGGTATGCACTACCAGGAGCTTTGTGTCACTCCACAGTAACACCTTGCTGCCACTCATGCATCCAACAGACTCGTAGAATTGCTTGAGTTGGAATGTAGCCATAGAGGCCGTCCAGTCCAACTCCCCTGCAACGAACAGGGGCACCTACATCTCCTCAGGTGCTCAGAGTCTTGTCCAGCCTGACCTTGAGTGTCTCCAGGGATGGGGTTCCATCTACAGACCTGGCTGTGGTCTTCAACGTGTTCCTGCAGTCCAGGATTGTGGTGTTTGGCATCAACTTGGAAGAGAGAGGTCCAGCCCTGTAGCTACCAGGTTTGGCTTAACCATGTCAAGCTTGTTCATCCCTCCACCACAAATGTAGTTTATTCCTCCTTGTGAAAAATGTTTCTGCCCAGGCTGGAGAGGACATGGGAGATGTCCGGAGTGATTGCAGAGTGGAGGGGATGACCCTGTTTGATGGAAAGTGGCCACCAAAGGATTTTGCGCCTGTCAGTTTGTGCCGTTTCTTGGTCAGGGAATTTGCAGCCCAAAGGTTGTTTTGGATGCCTGCCTGCTCCCAGAAGCTCTGCATGCTCAGAACAATTTCAACTCTGTGTTAAGACAGTAATTGTAATCAAATCTCACGCTCTGCTGCCTCAGCCAGTCCCCTCCATGGAGCAGATGGGAAGGGAGCTCAAGCCAGCAAGGGCTTTCCCTCCCACCCAAGCACACAACTGGCCCAATATGTGCTGAGAGAACTTCTTTGTCTTTCCTATTGGCTTCTCTCTGCTTCTTCCCAGGTGTCAGTGACAGGCTGCAGCTGGAAAATGTTGGGCAGGGGGTTGAAGTGTGGGCAGGGAGGAGATTTTTTTTTCTCTGCTGCCTTCTGCCTTCCGTTGGTCACACATCTATGCTGCAGAGAAAGTTTGGCTGAGAGCAGACACAGACATTTTTTGCTATCTGTTGATCTGCAGGATCAGATCTGAGCTCTGTTTGCGGGGTAAGTTGGTTACACTGGGTGATCCTACATCCTGTAGGACCCACATGAGGTGGTAGAAGAGCAGCTACCAAATTGCAAGCCTGTAATATGGCAGGTGTGGCTGTGAACGTGTGTGGAAGTTGCTGCTGGTGTTGATGGTGTTGACAGTGGTGTGCTGGAGTCACTAATTGCCTTGTACAGCAATTAGTGCACAGGCACAGGGCAGACACTGCTCGTGAGTGCACCATTTTGGAAGGCCATCCCTGAGCACATGCATCCTCCCAGCAGTCTGGGGTTGAGGCAAGACCTGGTTTTGTTGGATGGTCCCTTGGTGCCTCCTTGTGTCATCTCCTTGCATCACCTCTATCAAGAAAGCAGAATGGCACCTACTGGACTCGTGCATCCCATTGAAACACTCTCTTGAAGGCAAGTCCCAGGGATTTGATGTTTTATTTTATTTTCAGCAATGGCTGATAATGCCTTGTTAGTATAGTAGTTCTTCTATATTTTCTTCTATGTTTTCTTCCCATTTTGGCTTATTAGAATAGGAAATTACATTGTTCAGATTGAATATTAGGAAAAAAAATGTGGAAAAAGAAGTTGTAACGTAATGGAACAGATTGCCCAGGGAACAGACTGCTCAGGAGGTGGAATCACTGTCCTGGGAGGTGGATTTGTGGAGATATGGTGCTGAGGGTCATGGTTAGGGCGCATGGAGGGGATGGGATGGGATTGGACAAGATGATCTTAGACATCTTTTTCAACTTTCATGATTCTATCATTCTGTGAAATGTATTCTGGATTAGCTGTCGAGTGTTTTAATTTTCACTTCTGTCTCATGCTGCATTCTTACTATTCTATCCCCCCACCCCCTTTTTTTTTTTTTTTTTTATAAGGCCACTGAGGCTGATTGTGGCTTTTACATTGCCTGCAGAATTTGTTTCTGAATCTGATTGGAACTGGGTGACTGAGATTAATGAGATATTTGTTCTCTTTAAGGTGATGGCAATGTTTATTGCTCAAGTATGAGAGAAAACAAGCTATGTGCAGACTCTTTCCAGATTTAGGGACCTTCAGGATTGAAATCAGTCCCTCCAATATTACGATGCTGCCTTCAGTCTGGATCCTTTTCATATTCACATGACTGAGTGATTTGCCAAAGCACCTCAGGGGGGTGTTTGAGAAATCTGCTGTGCTTGCTGGAAGGGGGCAGGCAGCACCCACATGACTGCAGAGCACTGCACTTATCTGTGAATCAAAGGCCTTGGCTTGGCAGAGCATCTGCAGAGCTTGCAGGGCCCTCAGCTTTGAGCTCCCTTTGTACAGAACCAAGCCATGAAAATGAGCTCTTCACTCCCACTTCTTTTGATGTTGCTGGGCTAACCACCACCATGCCATCTCTGCTCTTAAATCCTCCTTTTTCTCTTCCATATCCTCCTCCTCCTTTTCCACAGACCCACAGACTTCCCCCACATATTTTGGGTGCTGGCATGATGGTGCAAGGAGAGGGCTGCTGCTGCTGCTGCTGGAGCTGTTGGCTTCAAGGAGATCAGCAATTTCTTGTGCTTTTCTTAAAAGGCGTGCAGCAGTCTCACATCCTCTCTCACAGAAGCAGCTGTCTTGATGAATATTTGCCCAAATCATTACGCTATCTAGCAGTTAGCCTGCAAAAAGGCCCAGCACCATTTGTATGGTAATGGAAGGCTTTCTCAGAAATGTTTTGGAAGCAATCAGCTAAGCTAATAGGATTTTATGTAAACCAATCTCTTTCTTTAGATCAGGATTTTTTTTTTTTCCTGGAGAGGAGGGTAAGGGCTTTTCTAATAAATGCAAATTGATATTCCAATGAAAATGGAAATGAGAGAAGTTCATTGCCAGGGTAAAAAGCTGCGACTTTGCTCCTGCAGTAGCCTGGCTCATGATGCTCTACACATCCCCCCACAGCCGCGACACATTGCTCAGGTGCTGAGGCGATGAGCCTTCCTCCCTCTTGGCCCATGCAGACAGACATGAGCCAGGCTAGGCTACTCTTCAGCCACCAAAGCAGGGTTCTTCCAGTCCTGGACCTCTGCAGAGGGTCACAGCAGTTGGTCCCAGTGAAGATGAATGGCGTGGGTTCATTGATTGATTACTCATTTCTATTGTGAATCAGCATCTCTGGTACAGTGTAACATGAATGTCCTGTGCCTCTCCAGCTGAGAAGGGGATGAGAAACACTCAGAAAGCTGACTAATGTTGTGCATTCTGCTCTCCGCTTCTAAGATAAGTGCTCTGCTCTTGGAATTTGCTCACTGCTGAAATCACCTGCTGCAAAGGGCTTCTGCTGCAAACCTTCAGCGCTTCCCCACTGAGCTGAGGCAACTTTCCTGGCCCTGGTCCCGATGGCCTCACTGCAAATGGGGCCTGGCCTATGTGAGCATGGGCGGCTGCAGTCAGACTGCTAGCTGGGTTATTTTTCATATGGAAAGAATACAATAATCCAAATACAGTAATAAACATAATAATAAAACCCCTCCCACATGGTGGTGCTCCTGGAAGCACTCTGTGAAGAAGTGCAGGCTGGCGAGGGCTGGGCATCCCAAAGAGTTTTAGGGGAGAGGCTGTGAGGCTGATGCTGATTTGGGCAGCAGGGTTTGGAGCTTCTCTGCCTTCTGTAGCGTGGGGCAGCTACTGCTGGTGGCAGAGAGGTGCAATGTGTCCCTGAGGCCTCAGAGTGTTGCAGCCTGGCCAGGACAAGCACTAGGCCAGGAGTAGCCATGATGGGGTCATACATCCATAAAAGTTGTTGTGTTGTTTGAACTTGTGAGCAGTGTAAATGTTTCTCTAACAAAAAATCTGCAGGCGGTTTGGCAGCAAATTCTTGTTTTCATTGTTTGCTGTTAAGTGGTACCAGCAAGGCTGCAAAGAGGAAAGGTAACCTTGTCAAAGCAGCATGCAGTCCCTTGGAAAGTCCCTTCTGAATGTCGTGGATGGGAAGTGGAGAGCTGAAGTGGTTTCCTACCAAGCTGAATGTGATTTTGTGCTATGCTGTGTTGTAAGGCAGCAGCCATGGAACATGGAAGATGTCTGCTTTCAAGAGGGCTGTGCTTTGGCACGACAGAGGTGGCTAAGGAGATCAAGCCATGGTCAGTTCTGTGTCACACCAGCGCTGATCTGGAGGTACAGCGCTGACTGACAAGTGTCCTTATAACAGAACTCATGCCCTGCATGCTCTTTGCTGGATGCTCTGTGAATTAATAATGAATTGTGTCTGGAGTGGGGAACTGAGGTTCATTTGGACTCCTGCTGCCCCTGGAGTTCTCCAGGGGAGCATTTGTCTGTGGTGCACTGGCTTGGTTGTCAAAACTGGTTTGAGAAACACCTTCTTACTCCAGCACTTTCTTGTGATCTTTGATTTATGCCAGGACAGCTGTCAGTGGTGCCTTGTTGTAGCTGTATTGCCGAAGTGACTTGGGGTAAAAATTCCTTGAAACAGTAATTTTTTGGGGGTGTTATTTTTAGCATTAGGCCTTCCTGTACATTTAATGCTCAGGTTTTATTCTAACAGCACAGTCCAGATTTGGATCTAGGAGAGTCAAAACTAGCTTATTTAATATGCTAGTTACTCACATTATTCAAATGTGTTTTCAGATTTGAAACTACATTTAATTGTATGAACAGCACTGGAAGAAAGAATATGTTTTCACTGTATGATCTTTTTCTAACCTTCCTAATATGAAGGCTGTCCCAAAAGAGCAGGAGGAGAGCAGGGCAATTTGTTTTTCCCATTCCTAGTGAGATGATTTCCATATACGTTTCTGCACTTCCAGGTAACACAAATAACACTCGATTATTAAACTGGCTATTTAAACTGTTACATGGTTTAAATACTTAGTGTGTTTGTCTGGACAACATTAAGTTTATATGAATAAAAATTCTAAGAAATCCTTCTTGAACTACGAAATCGAGTAACTTGTTTGCCCAATATTTCAATGCAGCCCTGGAGATATCATTAGAGAGGTCCTGGGAAGTTTGTTTAAACAATTTGGTCTCTGGCAGATCTATTATCACAATATTCAATAAAAATACTACTGAAGTTTCAAACTGCATCAGATTTTATATCTTCTTAGAGAGAAATCAAAATGAACAGAGTATATCCAGAAACCAATCCTGTTACTGACAGGTAATGTTAAAAACAGCCTTAAAATTTAAGTTGATCAGAAGTAGTCAGTTGAAAATGTCTTTGATGGAAAATGCAGTTTCTGCAAAAAATAATACTCAACTTTGATTGGTAAAATTGAAACAAAAGCTTTCACTGCAGTTTGGATCTGGCAGAGTGAAAAAAAAAGAAAAATCTCTCTTAGAAATGAATCCAAAATCTTTCAGGAGAAAATTCCTCCAGTTTTGTGCTTCTGTTGGCTTCTGTAAACTGTGGATCAGTGCCTCCACTAAATGGGATATGCCAGCAAGGTGGATGGAAATCCATTTTCAGGAAGGAACATGAAAGACACATCTGGAAACTGTGAGTTTTGCAATGCTGAATGTCTTTAAAGGTAAACTTACTTCATTTCTTTCAGGTATGACATAGTTGGCATGCAGTAGATGCCTTGCCTGGTGTTTGTCACTCCTGGTGGTGTGTGTTGATGTGTTTTTGTCTCATGCATAGGTTGCAGGAGAATCTCATGCACGATGCAGCTGAGGTGCTTCACATCCCTGGTTTTCTCTGCTGGCCATGTTCTTCATGTGGGCTGTGCAACAGATGCAGATGATAGAGAAGATGGAGGAATAACTTTAGGATATCCGTATGGGTGTCCTGCAGCCATTAAGCACAAGAAGAGATGACTTTCATCAAGAGAGGTAGCCACACTAGTCAAGGAGATACTGTGTCACCCTGGTGATTCAAGGGGAAAAAGAATAATCTTGACTTTCTATAGAAGTTTAAATGAAAACTTAAAGGTGCCAGCCATTTCTACAGGGTGGAGAGGCTGCTCTTTAATGAAGGAATGACACAAATCCTTTTGCTAACCACAGCACAAGATTCTCTGTTTTGTTATCTTCATGGAATATTAAAGCAATTTAATACATTGAAATAATATTGCAAAGCTTACGGTTGTAAAGTTTTGAATCTAATTATGCCCTACCTATCTTTCTTCTACCAAAGTCTAAAGTTGCTCACAGCTCAACAGCTCTAGTTCCTAGCCACCAACTTCCTCCTACCATCAACAGAGATAAAAGCATGTCATCTCACAGCACTTTGTTCTATTCTTAGAGGGTACCTAACGAGTGTCCTATTTGACCAGACACCTTCATTACCAATGTTGGTTTCAGGTGAGGTGAAGCCATTCTGTTCCATGGCTGTCTTTTTACCTCAACTACAGCTAATCAGAAGAGGATCAAACAGATCTCTTAAAATGCCCACACAGAAATTACTCAGTAAAGTGAAACATTTTGTAACACTTTCTTGCCTTTTTCTCTCCTGAAGCAATGATTATCATCTCTTAATTGAGTTGTCACAGATTCCAAGGTGTGTTGGTAACAGCTTTACAGGTTGTCATTTGTGCACTAATCATGTCTCAGTAACTTAAAATGTTTTGGAGTCCATCCACTTTGGCTTTTCTCTAGATTTTTCATGGCATCGAAAAATGCAGTTGGACATTTATCCTACTCATTGGAGTCCTCAATTTTATTTCCATCTGGAATCGCACACCAGTATTTGTGGGGCAGTTAACTTGGCTGAGGAAAGTGGTACGTAATTGGTCCTTTGAACTTAGTATCTACTTAATAGATAAGTTCCAATTGATCACGCTTTCAAAATCTCTATTCTTTTGGGTTACTTTTTTCTTTTAGAAACTCCACATTTTACTTAAACAGTTATTTACAATATTTATTATGCACATGGGTTTTATTCTGCCAGTCTCAAAGTGCTTCTCAAAAAGCAAGCAGATATAATTCAATAGCACAGTAGACAGTGACTTGATCCTGATGCCAGAAATCAGTGAATTATGTTGGACATCTGCCACATGGATGGTTGTTATCCAGTCTGCAAGGGTCACCACAAATGCCTTTCAGAATTCTGTGTTTCTTGCAGGATTGTCCAACTGGCTAGGAAGAGTAGATGTATTTAGGGTGATTTCAGACTGGTTGATAAGGATTGGGCTGGAAACTCCCCAGTGGGTCCTTATTTCCATTATGTCTCCCATGTGACCGGATCTGCTCAGAAGTTTTTAGGATGCTCCAGATGATGGTGTTTCATGAATCAGCACCAGGAGAAAGAGCCCATCCTTGTCTGCTCTGCAGGCCACAAAGACCAGCAGGATATGAAACAGCACTTCCACTATCTCTCCTCCAAGCCACTACATCAGAAATATTAATGAAGGTAAGCATTAAGTGCCAGTACACGTGTTGCTTTCCCACTAGTGCTTTATTCTTTTAACGTCTTTTATTTTACTGATATTGATAGCAGTGCTTCCAGGCAGTGGGACTGGGGATTTTTTTTAGTGTCTCTAATTGAACTAAGACCAGTATGCAGATTGCTGGTAAAATAAGCTGCCTGTAAGTGGGTAAAACTGTGATGTATGCCTAATCTCAAGTGCTTTTATGGCCATGAACACCAGAGGCTGTGTGTAATTACTATTTTAACCACAGGTCAGAACTCAGAACTCCTGGTGCTCAGGAGCTGTAGGCAGCAGGGGCAGATACTTCAGTCCAGACTGTCTCTTCATGTTGCTCAAATGTGTGTCTACTTAAAGAGCAGAAAAAGGCAAGGGCCTGGCAAGTTGACTGTTCTACATATCCTGTGGTGTCAAAACTCCACAGTTTTATCTCCTTCCTAAACCTAACTCTCAAAGTCTTATCTCCTCCCTAAAGGCACAGAGAACAGAGAACTTATGGGATATCTCTGCATTGGATCAATAGGTGTCTCAGGGGTACTGGGCTATAGAGGCACAGATTGTCTCTCACTGTCTGTGAGCTTAGATGCTGCTAAATTGTAGAAATGGACCCAAAGTGGCTGGCAAACTAATAACTGCTGATCCTACAGCACCTTTGGGTGTCAGAATTGCTGCTCCCCAAATGACTGTAAATGACTTTCTGCAGGGTCATGTAGAATCGCCTATTGCTAAGTAGAAATGTGAATTCTGTTTTCTCAAGTCATCAGTATCACTGGAACCCCAGGACTGTTTGACCTCACTCAGTACACATAACACATTAGGCCATGATCTATGTTAGGCCCCAGGGAATGGCAGGAGAGCATTGTATTGGCAGGTGCATTGTCACAGTCCATGAGAGCTAAGTCAAATTTGGGAGGCTTTATAGAAAATGTGTCTACTGTGGCTTTTTTTTTTGCCTTTGATGCATTCATCCACCCCATCTGCTCTTTCCCTGAGGAAGAAACTTGCATGAATCATCTGATGACCATTTTTGCAAGAATCATTGGTGAGGCTGATACTCCAGTTTGCTGAGCAGTGCTGGTGCTGCAGGGATATATCATTTCAGAGTGCTGTCAGTGTATCATACGGCCACAGCTCTCTCTGCTGACAGGGAGTTATAGGAGTAATGAAACACTATAACGTTTCCATGCACTTCCAGACTGACTCAGAAACCATAAACACTAAAATCCACCCTTTGTGCTATTGACATGTAAAGTGCAATCACCCCTCCAGCTTAAATGGAAGCCTACATTTCAGAGTGGTTACTCAAACAGGTCTTCAGAGTCAGAGTGTATTGAGGAGTCAGAAGTAGAAGTGGTCTGAAGTTTTGTAAACTGTCCACAGAGGTCCCTTATGTGTGGTATTGTCCCTTCTGCAGCCTGCTGTGCTCAACGAGAGCAGCTCCAGCTGGCCAGCAGGTGTGTGGCAGCGGTGACCTGGTTTGGCAGTGACCTCTGCTGACCCCCTTGGTGTGCCAAGATAAAGATGGGCCATATGTTCCAATGCACACTTGTGTACTGAAAGGTCATCTTCCAAGTGGGTCCTGGAGACAAGCTGTGCTCCTATTGTAAAAATGTCTTAAGATAACCCAGGAAAAGGGAAAACTGTTGCTTGAACACTTTTTTGCATGGACGTTGTTAAATAAAGGTGCTGAAATATCAGGGGTAGTTCTGTGGTGTTTCCTTCTTAGCTTAGTCATTAATATTCTCAGCTTTTATCATTTGCCCAGAGAAGTGGTGGAGTCACTGTCCCTGGAGGTGTTCCAGACCTGTGAAGATGTGGCACTGAGGGACATGGTTAGTGGCATGGTGGGGGTGGGTTGGTGGTTGGACTGGATGATCTTAGAGCTCTTTTCCAACATTAATGATTCTGTGATTGTATAATAAGAATTTGGGTGCTAAGGATGGCAAATGAAGCATAGAGCTGCAGGTCCCATACTGATGATAGCCCAGGGTAAGCCAAGAGTTAAGTCTTGTGTTGTGCAGCCCAGCTTGAGGCAGTGTTGGGCTATAGGCACTGAGATGCTGGTCCTGAGAGGCTGTTAAAAAGTCCTGGGTGCTGTAGTAGAAGTGAGAATGTCTGTCTGTAGATCTCTCTGTGATGCTTTGCAGTTCAGTTTTTGGCAATTAGTTTTGGCTTTTTGTAGCACTTTTTAAGTTGAAGAGCGTGCGATCTGTGACTCCTAAAATCCAGATACAGAATGATTCTGGATATTCTTTTCCTATTTAATTATCCAATTTTGTTAGTTTTCTCTAACAGTGAAAGCTGAATGCCTTACCAGGAGTTAACTGCCTAAATATCCATCAGATTGAGATCCAAGTCATCTGAAGAGGAAAACTTTCCTACCTGACTTATGTGTCATTGAAGGTGTTAGCTTCTGTCTGAAGCAGTAACATGTCCTATGGGCACTTGAAAATTCTACATGGAAGTGATCTTTTATTGTATCTGTCCCTATTTCCATGTAGCTGAGAGACACTGTATGATGCCTTACTGCAGCTAGGAAAAAGAATGCTGTATGATTACAAAGCCAGCTGAACAGTCTTTTCTGTTCACTCTTTGAAAGTGGGACCATCATTTCAGTGCTGACATTCACTCTCGCTTATCACATTTCCATCAATAAACCTCTCAGTCAATTTGTTATCTGCAGCACATAAAACACAGCTCTCTGCCTCACCTTTCCTGTGTGAGAAATCTGTGAGCGTGAGTGAACAAAAGCGCCCTGCCAAGGCATCACTGAAAAGAATTTATGGGCCTGCATATTCATTTAGTTACTCACACAACCTTAAACAAACATGTTAGTCTGTCTGTATCTGTTCTGCTTTTTGTGCTTGCAGAGTTGAGGTTCTGTACACACATTTGCTGTGATGCATCAGTGTAGGGTGCAGAGCATCCTGTAGTTCTCTTCTATGGGAACAGTGCCTGCCCCAGTTCTAGAGGTTCAGGGTACATTGCTGGCCTCGGTGTACGTTTCCTACTACCCAATCTGGAGGAAAATTGCTCTGACAGTTAATTTTTCCCATGGTCATTTTTTCCTACCAGATCTAGTCATCCCAAAATAGTACTGTTTTCAAGCCTCTGCACTTGCATTACCTGTGTAGAGTCAATGGGGAGCAGGGGAAATCCACCTTCTTTGCCTCCCTCTCCCCTGGTAGAAGGAGGATGTGTGTGGGCTGGGAAATAGGACAGGGTAACTGTGTTGTCTCTTGTGCCTTGGTGGCTCCTTTTGGACTTTTCTGCTGCTTGCAATGCCAGAGGGGAAATGGAGGTCTGCTGTGGAGCAAGAAGAGGCACTGCTGGCCAATGCATCCTCTTGTCAGCCATCAGGCCTGTTGCAAAAATCGTGAAAGATATTTCTGAGACGTGTGATTCTCTGTCAGTGGAACAACTGAGTATGTTATTCTTGTGGTATAAATTAAAGCTGCACTTTGTGGCTTTAACTTGTAGCAAAGCCAGGCAGAGAGGTTTAAGCGCTCAGATCAGTCATGTTGTAAAACCTCAGAACTGAGTCAAATGGCCACCTCGGTTTAAGCTCTGGAGGTTGAGCAGGAGTGGTCATCATCTGTGGTCTGTCTTTGCTGGCCCCAGCATTTCATTCATGTGCTTTGAACACATCAATGCATGACAATCCCACCACCACCAGATAACTCTAATGCTTGTTTGGCCCAAAGTGCAGTGCTGTGTTGAACTGAGACACAGCCAGGAAAAGCAGTGGGAAGCACATGCACGCTGACGTATTGAGTGTGCTTTTAAGTTTTAGGATTGTTTCCCTCTTGGCTTCCACGCTTCTAGCTGCAGTGAAGAACTGGAGTCTTATTTTCTGGAAGTCCATTTGGCTTTCACATCTGCAGACTCATCTCTGGTCTCAAGTACTTGGTGCGAAGGTACTTGCAAGTGCTCCTGAATGCCTCTAGGCAATGTGAATGGCCCTCTTCTGGTTGTTTTACAGATATGCGTTATGCTCTCAGAAGCACAAAGTAGAACAGGGAAAAGTCCAAGGAGTGGGAAGAGCTATGGATGGATGAGGTCCTTTGGAGGAGGCCATCTCCAGGGTTTGGGCTTCTTGGCTGACGGTGAGGATCTCAGCCCATTGAGACTCCACACAAAGCAAGAACACCAAACCAGTCTGAGGTACTGTACTGAGGTACGTTTTCCCCAGAAAATAACTGAGGTCATGCTCCTTCTTGGCATGAGCTGTAGGGGTACCCTCAGGGCTGTGAGAAATCACCAGAAGGCCAGCCCATGGAGACAGCTCTGGGCCCAGATGCAGCCTCCTGCTCGAATTATTGCTAAATGCTTGTTGCCAAAAGCTTGGGAGTTAGGCCAAGAGTTACATCCTCTCCTTCCTTCTGCAAGTCATAAGACACCAGCCTTAGGATTGACCTTTGCTCTGGTGAACACTCAGGCCCCAACATTTGGGTTTACCTGGCAGCAAGTCCCAGTGATGCAAGCAAAAACTGTGAGGGATGTGACATTTGTTTGGATTGCCTTGGTTTGTGTCATTTTTCTTCTGTATATTGAGTTATACACCCTAGTATTGTTCCTGCACTAGAACAGTCACACCCTGCTAGCATTTTTGTGGCCTGCAGATCTGTTTCCTTGATTCTTGCTCATATATGGTCATGAGACTGAGCAGCGACAGCCGGGGTTTGAGCAAAGCAAAGGAGTGATTTTCTGTATGCACAGGAAGGTACCTTCAGAGGAGTTTCAATTTCACAAAGTGCTGACCTCCAAAGCACATCTGAGATGAGGTCGGAATGGACTGCTCAAACCAGAGGCATCCAAAATCACCAATCACTTGGAAAGCTGGCGCTGAGGCCATCAGCTATAAACCACCGCTCGCATAAATGCTGCAGATAATTATTACCTGCATAAAATATGATTTGTGAGTTTGCTTTAATCATTATGCAAATGAAAGCTAAGTCCTCACTTATGGTGTGATAGACTCAGT